AAATCTTTGCCCTGCCACTTCATTGCTAAAAGACTTTGGGCTTGTCACTTAACTCTGAGCCTCAGTTTCCTCTTCTATAAAATAAAGGGATTGGACTAGATGATTACCAAGGCCCCTTCCAGTTCTTAATTTATGATTCCACAAGCTTATATTTTTGCTTGCATGGGGTAGTAACAAAGATGGGACTCAGAATCCTATTTCCAAGTCTAATGTTCTTTCCACCATACCATCCTATATTTACAACAATTTGATGTTATAAAATTGGCATCTTCAACAACTGGTATCGATTTGGAGCCTGGAAACCAGGAATTTGAATTCTCTACCATGTTGCTTTATTTTTATGTGGAACACAGAAAGAACGTGACTCTGAGGATGATAGTTCAAACCTCATTTTTGATGTTTACTATTTGTGGGACTTTGGACAAGTCACTTAATCTCCCCATGCCTCAGTTTTCCCATCTGTGTTGGGTCAGTTGGCTTCTGACATCCTTCCCAGATTTAGATCTGCCATTAGTTACTCATTCCTTTCACCTAAAGCTGTGCCTGTTTGCCTTCCCCTCAAAATTAATATGTAGATGGTATATAGAAAGGGTAATGCTTAAACCATTATTTATCACCTATAGCTTAATATGAAATAGTTTATCAAATCCTTTCTGGAAAGCATGTGGTCTGAGCTGAGACAATGTGAGGATGCTGGACTAAAGGGAGAGGAAGAAGGAAGGAGTAAAGAAAAAGGGATTCTGGCATGAAGAACATCTAATTTAGAGTTTCTCACAAAACCATCTTGGCTGCAGTAGTCTTGTTTTAAATTGAAACTTTTAGTTTAGAAAGAGACATTTTCATATTACCACCACAAAACTTCTGCTCCAAAGACTCATGATGATTTAAAGGTAACTCCAAATTTGAAGAACCCCAGATTCTCAAAGTTTATGCCAGCAAAGTAAATACTCTAGTAGGTTCTACCATGCTGAACAAGCTTCCAGGACAATCACAGAAAAAGACTACAGATGTTTGCCAAGTTATAGCCTAGATAAATAAAGAGAAATTCACTCCCAGCAGATTGGCCATTTAATAATGAATTCTTTAGCAAAGGCAACCAAAGTCACACGTGTAGAATCACAAAGTATCTCAAAAGTTATATATCATCTGACTCATATTCTAACAAAATCTCTGCCATAATGCCTAATAAATGAAGATCACCTGTCAGGGTAAATCTCAGTAGAGCCATTTCCCCTTTCAGACATCTCTAGTTGTTAGCAAGAAGTGATTCCTGACTTCTAGATTAAGCTTAAAGTTGTTTCTTTTCAACTTCTACACTTTGCTCCTGATTCTACTCTCTGTGGCCAAAAAAGAACAAATCAAATCCCATTTCCTCATGCTAGGCCTTGAGACAGTTGAAAATACTTATTATTATGTTCCTTCTGATTATTCTCCTCTACATTTGTTCTTTATCCATCTTCATCCATCCATTCCTGTCTTCTAAAATAGATTACCCATACTATCAATTACATCGACCCACAAGTTCATGCAGTGGTCAAAAGAAAGTGGGTTCCAACTTAGAACAATTGTAGCAACACTCAGTTCCTGAAAGTTTTTGTGTTGGAGTTCTCAAGAGTTCCCCTTAGGTATGGGATAACTTTGTGCCTTGAATCTGCTTTTCCTCCATATGTCTAGTTTGTTCTCAATTCTTGATGTAAGCTGCTACTGCTTACCAGGGAACCAAAGGAAAATGTCCATATCCTCTAGTCCTCTAAAGTTCATGAGTTCATCCTCTGGCCAAGAGGGGGCATGGAGGAGGAGACCAAGGCTAAGGATGAATCCTCTCCTTTCTTAACCATTCCGTCATTCAATTCCTAGAGGCTTCTACCACTGAGCTGCTAAATTCTGGATTATTTGATTGTGAACTAGCTTCCTGGCCTTATGCAAACCCCATAGGCCATGACCAAATCCCTCAACCAATTCAAACAGACTTCTTGTCACTTATAGCTGTAGTGCCTTGATTGAATGGGTATTCCCAGGCCTTGTTCACACTTACTTCACAGCAGCTGATTGATTGATTGATTCAATATTTCTCCCCCATGAAGGTCTCAGGGCATATTTTTGGGTCTGTTAATTCAAGTGGAATAGTTGGTTTTATTGATTGATTGAATTGACTAATATTTATGGTGACTTAACTGGGAGAAGTAAAGCTCCACTCCTTCTATGTATAAACAATTTGCATGACTGATTCAATCACCAAATGGATTGTTAGAGCATGTGCAAACATTCTGTAGCTAATTCAGGTCTGATAACTATGTGGTGGACAGACTCAGATTTACGACCATCTTCAGTACCAGAAATGGGGTACATTCAAAGGTAACTAACTGCCCCAAACAAGTCTCTGTCCTTCCTGCCTGACTGCACTTGTAAAGCCTTAAGTCTATAGATAAGGAGAGGTCTTGAGCTATTCTCCCCCACGGCTGACATGTGGCCCATGAATATGGGTCTCTGTTCTGTCCCTTTTTGTGTTTATTATTCCTTGCTTTTAGGTGAAGGATATGTTAGAGACCTCTACAACCTTCTGAGCCTTTACAGATTGAAATGATGAGCCACCAGAAATCTAGGAACAATATACCAGATTTTGCAGCTAGCCAAGATGGTAAAGACCCACCATGGATCACTGGCAACCAAAAAGAAACTGCAGTGATTCATCCATCAGCTGTACCAAATTTGGAAATAAACTTGGTGAAGGCAAATGCATTGTAGTAATTGCCTTAAATTCCAGTGTATTCTCCCAAAGGACTGAGAATGTGCCCTTAGGTGTTAGGTGAAAATACTTATAACTTCTATTCTTGCTATGTATTCTCAGAAAACATCTATTTATAAATTTTAATTGATTTTAGTTTATTAAATGACACTGGGCTATTATTCACTGGCTATTGATATTGGGGAAAATATGCCAGAATGCCAAGTCTTACAATATTAGAAAAATACACAACCACCTGTCAGGGGTAGCTCCAGAATCCTAGGGGTGAGAAGTAGCCTTGCTCAGATAATTGACTTTATTGGAATGGAAGTTGGGATAATAATGTCCTAAATTTACATGAACTTCACTAGTTACTGATATGGGAGTTCTTTCTGAATCAATTGTACACAATCAAAATCATTGACTTATTAAAGAGAGGTCAAAATAAATACTAGATTGTAGGGAGATATGGCATGCAATTAATAATTTTACAACTGAAACTACATTAATAAGGCACATGGGAACTGGTTAAAATCAGTGAACAGAAAAAAAATAGTTCACAGAAACTTTGGTGAGAGATTTAATTGTAAGAGATCATTCTAAGAGCATTAAGGATAAAACTAGAAGTACAACAGAAAAAATAGAAAAGATATGTTGAAATTTCTATAAACTTTTTTTTTTCAAAGATGATATCAGTAGAAAGACACATGGTAGTAGCAAATAGGTTGTGGCAAATCACCAACTTAGAATTGAACAGCAAAATGAGTGTTAAATGTATTATTATAGATTTATATGACTATAAAAGTAAATAGACCTGGTACATAGCAAGAATGCAGATAGGAGATAGATAATACACAAGCTCTAGCAATGCCTACCTAATATTAACAGATTTATGGGATTGGCTCCCACATATATAGCAGACTTTGTTTGAAAAGTTTGTGGGAAGACATGGACAGGAGTCCTATAGGATGGAAAGGTATGCATAGGTTAAAATATATATCATTGGTGAGAATACTTACAGTTACAAGATCACAGGTCCACAGAAATATGAAAAACGCACATGAACTAGGATTGAGATTTAAATTGAGATCTTAAAAATGGCCTATATTGAAAAAAAGCTAAAGGAACTGAGTTTATCTAGTTAGTGAAGAGACAGTGAGTGATAATTCAACGTTAGATGTATTCTATCAGTGTGTCAGTGTGAGAGCAAATAGTTATTGGAAATACACTGAGAAAGGACAAGAGGCTTAGAGTTCTGTTAGAAGGAAAGGTTTAGGCTAAACACCAGCATAACCTTCCTCATCTTAAAGGATATGAGACATATAACTAAGGAAACAGGCAGCTGCTTTTATTGGAAATGTTTAAGGAAACGGTCTTGCACAGAATAGGTAAGGTGAGATAAATAAACTCTCAAACCTTATAGTTTTATGATTCTGTATCAAGGGAGTCTTCAAGTGGTCTTATAATGAAAGATTGTGAGACTGTGCATACTCTTAGGGCTGAATGACAAATATTACCACAGTGACACATTTTGAAGACACTATGACAAATGTATCTGAAAACCAATTCATAAAATGACCTGAGATGAGTTAATAGAGTCATGATAAAGATATATTTTCTATTTTTTAGAACGAATGCCTTTGGAATTAATCTCAGATCAATTTAACCAAATAAGTTAGTCTCAACTTACTGTATTATTTAAATGTCTCTTCCTTAATCCATTCTATCCCAATAAATGATTTTTTTATGCACAATTACGTCCTCTATTTTTTCTATCAAAGTTCATCTGTCTATCCATTTGTCTTACATGTACGTAGAAACTTTTAGATTCACAGACCAAGAGACTTGAACGTGGACAGTGGGAGGAGGTATACGTTGGTGAAGAGGATACAAATAAGATTGGATTTTGCAGTGATGTTACAAATATAATAGTGTGGATCAAATGTGAAAACTTTTAGAAAATGGATTTCACATCTCCAATATATTTTTAAATTAAAGACTGTTATTACAAAATCACTTGATTTTATTTTAAAAGTAAAGATGAAAGAAGTTTATATAAAGTTTAATCAGTAACTAGGATTCAGTAATTTAAAACTTGGATTCAAATATCAACAAAAGTTCAAGATGATAATTTCAAAGTTAATACGTAATAGGCTTAAATATCTAGTTTCTCCATTACTATAGTTTTTTTTTTTGAGGAGGCAGTAGAGAAAGAAGGTAGAGAAAGAAGGGTTAAATTAGCATAGACCATAAAATAGGAGAAGCAGCTTCTTACCTGCTCAGATAATTTTTTCCCATTGATGTGAGCCTGCATAACAGCATCATTAACAAGTAAGTGGAAGTTCAGAAGTACATGTTCAATGTCATATATCCCATGTATAGTATCAGAAAGTTCTTCCAGTGATTGGATATATCCCCGCCAATGAGGGTCAATTTCTGCCACATTAGCCAAACAGCCTCTTACAACATTAAGGCAGTAGCCCATACATGGCTTACTTAAAGTCAGAGCCTGGCAATGGGGACAGTATTGCATCTTCAAGAGGGCTTTGCTGCATTCTTTTGAGAACTGCAGATGATCGGTGGTATTGATGACTTCGATGCCTAAATTAAGAGCCTGCAGGAAAGTCCGGCTGGGTAGCAATGATCTCCCCATTTGTCCCATTACAATTTTGGGAATGTTTCCAAAGGGGTTAATATCTCGCCTTGCCATTCGAATGCATTCTGAATATTCCAGTGAAATATCAGTCACACCAGGGTTAATGAGATGATTGTAGACCAAAGGAAACAGAGTGTCAAAGAATCTGTTAACAAATTCATCTGGACTGATGTCTGTGCCAAACACAAAGAGCCCTACATCTGTGAAGAGCTCCTGAACTGAGGCAGCAGCTTCTAAAGCCATGTTCCTATAAGTGTTGCAGAATAAGGTGCTTGTGTAATTCTCTGCCTGCTTGATGAGAGTTTCAAAGGTCTCTGTAACAAGAAGGGAAAATAGAGGTAAGACATCTGAATATTCATTCAATTCATCAATCAACCAATTAATCAAATCTTTATTAAATGCCTACTAGGCTCCTACATGCTCAGCATTATACACGGAACTAAGGATACAAACATGAAAGTGAAACAGTACCTACCTTCAAGAAGATTACATTCTACTGGAACATGGAAGTGAAAAGGACTGAATTGTCATCTTTGGTCAAGAGAGTGAAGGAATTGCACAGACAATAAATCTAACTAAAGCTAATTAATGCATCATTAACTTGCTCTAATGACCATGAGGTATCAACTTAGAGTTCAGTGATTGCAGTATTTTTAAAAACTGGATACATATGCATATATAAATGCAGGGAGATGTGTGTTATGTAGGATGCGTACAGTCAACAATCTAAAAAAAAAAACTGCAGTTGCCCTACCAACTTCTGTCATCGGTCAAAATAAGCTGGAAAGTGGCATTATATGTAATGTAGTTCACTCCTCTCATTAATTCAGTGGTTATTTTATAACCCAATTAATTAAAGATGAAATATCACCAATCACTTAATTTCCTATCATGGAATCCATTATTTATAGAAGATGACTAAAGGTGGCATTAAGTCTTACACATAAATGTCTTTCTTATTATTTAAATTCCTGAGCTTTTTCATAATGAAAATCAGTAGGATCATCTATGTAAAACTATTACATAAGAATATATAGTAATGAAATAAGGAACATGGTAGCCTTAATGTGGTAATCACCCCATGCATATATTAAAAGAAATGAAGTTATTTTTCTTTTGCCAAATTTATTTTAATTTTCAAGATACTGCATTTACTTCATTATTTCCCTCTCCTTACTTCTTTCTTGCCACTCTAAGAACTGTATTTTTCTATTTGGAGAAAAACATTTGAGACACAGGGAAGCAGAGGCATTGAAGACAATCTGACTATGGATAGATACAGTTTAGCCCTTTTCACATAGGGGTTGAAGTGAAGAAATGGGAGAATAGATCCCTGTGAGAGACAGGCTATTATTATAAGACCCAGGAGGTGGTTTCTCAGGGACAGTTCTGTCACAACAGGACTGATGGAGGTAAGGTGATGGCAAGATACAATGCCAGGAATATGAAAGGCATAGGGATGAAAAAAAGTCTTGCTTCCCTGAATGCTAATAACCTGGGGCCCCTTGCTAGTTATGGCTGTGCCAATATGCTTCCTCTATTAAGCATATCCAAAAGAAAAAGAAATGAATCCTTTAAAAGGTTCCTTTTCCTGTAGCACAAGTCTTACTTAGTAAGATGATGAGAAGAAATATAACTAACTCTTTGCTGAAAGTATAGGGTATTACCATTTAACTATTAATTGAAAGTTGTAAAGCATGTAAGATCCTATTTTCTTAAGCTGTAACTGAAATATAATATTGCCTTCAATTACTTTTAAAAAACTTTTTTTTCCCAAAGAGAGATCTATAGGCTTCATCAGACTACCAGAAGTTTCCATGACAGACTGAAAAGGTTAAAAATTAGGCAGATTTGAGGATTCTAGGCCTTCTAAATTGCTTGCAGAGTTAATGCCACGAACTTCAAATGTGCCATAGTAATCACTACCTTAAAATAAAAGATAGGCATTATCTGTCAAAACAATGTTTGAGAAGATTAGAATTATTTTAAAGATTATTTTCATAATTAGCCACTCAGTCACCGTCACAGTGGTTCAACAGGAGTAGGCCTCATGTGAACACTTGAATAAAGAAAAGATCTGCCCTGAAAACTGTTTGGAAGGCTGAAACTATCAGACTTATACTCTGTGTGTGTGTGTGTGTGTGTGTGTGTGTGTTTTCGATGATTCCAACTTCTGGAGCTGATCACCATTTGGAACTTGGTATCATTTTGCTAAGCTAGATGGTGCAAACTTTGTTTCTTTTCACAAGCTCTAAAAATGTCTAGCAAAAAACATTTTAGTCATTCAGATATGGGCCACTTTCCCTAATATGGAGCATATCCTTACAATTAAAGATCTTTGAAAGAAAAATAAGCTTACATACTTCAGTACTTCAAAGGAGCTACAATCTCGCCAAACTGGACAATCCTTCCAATGGTGCAGAAAACCCATTGACATTGTATCCTGCACCATACTTATCTGTATCTTAGAGAAATCTTCTACAGAGGAGCCACTCTATGTACTAGGCCTCCCTCTAGCTTTCATTCTTTATTGTTGTGGTTGTTGTTTCTTTTTGGGTTTTTTTTTTACAGGGAAGAATTTTTTATTTTGTCTTTGTATGTCTTATGCAAAGTAGATGCTTAATAAATGGATAGACAATGGAAGAATCAAACCTTTTTTAAACACCAAAGTGAATCTACATTGAAGTGAAGTGCCATATCTACTGCACAGGATCTTCAATTCCCTTCCAAGGCACATTTGGTTTCTTACATTAGTTGTTTATCAGTGCAATCTATGACCTATCCAACATTATTTCCTCTTTCCACACAACCAACTCACCTCCTTTTCTGGTTATATTTTTCTTAGTGATCTATGCTATAACGCTTCTTACATGTGATTCTTGGGTTGTAATATATTGCTGCCTACTCTTTCCCATTCTTTATTTCTCTATTGCCCTTTGGGTGACACACAGGCAATGTTGAGGCACCCAAAGAACAGTGATAGATATACCCTGAAAAATAGTATCATAAAAGTATAGTAGAGAAAACACTTGTGTATTTTGTGAATATTTTTTCTAAATGTAAGTAAACTTTACACACACGCAAACACACACATATGACATAGTATCAGATTAAAGGGAACCTAAGAAAGTGGGGGAAATTTAGGATGGAAAGCAAACACTGGGGTTTTTGCTACCTACCTCCTGACAGAAAGGTAATAGACTAAAGATGTAAAATGACATGAATGTCTTTGGACATAGTGGATTTGTTTTGCATGACCATGCGCGTTTGTTAGAGGGTTTTATTTTTCTTTTTTTCCCCTGTGGTTAAGGGAAGTGGGGAGAAAATAATGCTTTTTTTATCAAAAAATAATTAAAGATGAGCAAACAAATCTTCCTTGAGAAATCTTTTTGCTTTTTGAGCAGACCAAGAGGGTGCTCACTGGTCATGATGAAGTTTGGCAACAGTGAGAATTCAGGAGAAAGTGTGACCTATCTTCAGAATAATACAGTGGTTTCTGAGATATTAAATTAATTATTTGTTAATAGATAGTAAATATAGTAATAAAATAATATATAATGATATTAATGTATTATAAATATAATTTATTTATTAATAGTAACATATTAATTGGTTAAATTAATTAAATTGATTAAAACTAAATTAATTAAATTAATTCAAATCAGTCCAAGAACACAAGTTATAGGGTAGAATTGACATTTAGTTTTGTAATAACTATTCAAAAGGTCAAATGTCAAAGCAGCATTTGAATGCTGGCTCAACTTTTTACTGATTGTGTGACCTTGGGTGAGGCATGTAATCTCTCTGCAACTTAAGTCCTCATCTATAAAATTAAGATATTGACTAGATGACCTCTGAAGTTCCTTCCCACTTTAAATCAATGAGCCTATGACTTTACATGACTCTTCTTTGCATTCTAAGAACACATATAGATTTTGAAACATGAATAGCTAGCATGCTACTCCATTTTCTGTTGAGCCACTGACCACATGTGTAAAGTCAAAATAGTGGGGAAAGTCAAAAGCTCTGTGATTGGAGCCAAAGATTTGGGTTGAAATCAGTCTTCCTTTGTACTACTTGTGCAGCTTTATGAAAATCTCTGCTTCTCTCTTTCTTATGGTATGTGAGAGTTGTTGGGAGGGACGTTAGAAATCATCTACTCTAAACTCTTGACCCACGTAAGTATAATAGTGACAATATCGCCAAAAATCAGATATCCAGGTTGTGTCTGAAACATTTTTCTTAATGGAAAACTCCCTAACTCAAACTAGTCCACCATTACATTTTTTTAAAATAGCTATGATTATTAGTCTCCAATAACTGTTAAATTATTCTTTCTTCTAAAATATTAGCCCATGTTTATTCTATTTAATATAATTTTTTCATAAACTTTCACAAAGCTTCTCTAGGTCATTTCCTTGATGTAAGAATCAACCAGTAAGCAATGTTTTAGTAAGAGTGTAGGAAAAGGATGGACAAAAAATATTTAAAGCAGTTCTTTTTGTGGTAGCAAAGACCCAGAAACTGAAAGGATGCCCATCAATTGGGGAAGAGCTAAACAAGTTATGCTATGTGAATGTGATAGAACATTATTGTGTTATAAAAAATGATGAAGGGAATGATTTCAGAAAAACCTGGGAACATATTAATAACTGATGTAAAATGATGTATGTAGAACCAGGGGAATAATTTATGCTGTAAATATTATATAGCAATATTATAAATGTAATCAACTGTGTAACTAATACCACTCTTGTGGAGGAGACAAAGATAAATGAATGAAATAACACAATCAAACTGATCTAGAACCGTTTGGATGAAAGAATTTTAAAAGTATTTAAGTTTAATGTCAACATGGCAAGAGGTCTTTAGTGGAGCTCCTCAGGGATCTGTGCTAAGCCCTATGCTGCTTAACATTTTTTATCAATACTCACATAGGGACAGAGTTGACATAAGCATAAAAATTTGCAGATGATTAAATAACTGGATGACAGAGTCAGAATTTGAAAGAATCCTGATCGGCTAGATTATATTTTAGCTTATAAAACAGTGAGTTGAATCTAATACAACGAAATTCAATACAGATAAATATGAAGTCTTGCACTTGGGTATGAAAAAAAATTAACTTAATAACATATTATGGGAAAGACATGGATAGATAGTAGTTATTCTCAAACAGTATTTTGAGATTTTATTAGATTGCAAGCAAGCTTAATAAGAGTCAGCATGTGATGTAGTGTCTTTATAAATTTAATCTATCTCCCCTAGTCCCTAAAAAATTAAACTGAGTTGTAAATGTAAAAATGTAAATAAG